TTTATATATATATATATATATATATATATATATATATATATATATATATATATATATATATATATTCAAACGGCATGCATATTCGTAATCTACGACCCATGATCGATGCTCATTACATGGTCTTTGGTCCAGGTCTGACATCAGGGGAGAACGCAATAGTGTATTTCCTTCGGAAAATACACTAAAAGGAAAAATCAGTATCTTTGCTGACGACACGGCCGTTGCGTCCTCTGCGCCCACATATGAGGAGACAGTCACTAACATCCAAGAGTGCCTGGACGACATCCAGGATCGGACTGAGCGCGATCGCACGGCGCTTAACGCCACCAAATCAGTTAACGTAGTCTTTACCTTAAGACCATATGTTTATGTCCCTGTGATCCTAAATAAAATTGCTATTCCCCATGCACAAAAGGCTCCTTACCTCGGCCTTACTATGGACTGTAAGTTAAAATGGAAGGAGCATATTCCAGGTAAATAAGAAAAAGCAAATTGACTTAAAGCACAGACAGATGCTATGGCTTCTCGGGAAGCGATCTAAATTAAAGCTAAAAAATAATGTTTTACTTTATAAATCAATGTTAAGGCCATTCTGGGTATACGGCTGCCAGATTTGGGCGTGTGCCGCCAGTTCTAATCTCAAAATTATTGAGACAATTCAAAATAAAATACTCAGACAAATGGCAGGGGCCAGGTGATACGAGCGTAGCATCGATATTAGAGATGAGCTCGGGATCGAAGAAATGGACATGTACATCTCAGGTATGTACAAAAGCTATGAAGAGAGACTGGGCGGTCACCCCAATTCTAAAGCAATAGCGCTTTTGGATTGGGGCTCCGAGACCCAGAGGTTAAAAAGACGCAAACCACATGAGTTGAGCGCGGCTCATTTCCGTCAGTGTCAGGCTCGTGCCTCTGGCCCCTACCAGTCTTATTGTTAGTCGACTGACAGGGCGAAAGCATAGTCAGTAGGTAAATTCTCTAGAATCTAGTTCTAGGAATAATTATAGTTAATATTAGTTAGTTTTTCTCCCGCTTTTTACAGGATTTTACTTCTATCTCATTTGTTCATCCTTCATTGTCATTCTCATTAATTTAATCCATGAAGCGGTGTTTATTTCTATTTTATTATATTAGGCTTAAAGGAAAATTTGTAAAGACTCGTAAGGTCTAGTAATATAAGTTGTAATTCAATATGTGTAATTACAAAAATAAATAAATAAAAAAAAAAAAAAAAAAAAAAAAAATCTTGGTGAGTGCTCTTTTAACTGCTTGTACTGCGCGTTCGGCCTGGCCATCAGTGGCAGGGTGATAGGGAGCAATGGTTTTGTGGAAGAGCGTACCTTGAGATTTGATTAACTGCTTGAAGTAGGCTGATATGAAGCAAGGATCATTATCAGAAACAGTTTTAGACAATTCTTTCAACGGTGCATCAAGAAGATCAAAACAGGTCCATTTCGCTGAGCCACCAGTTGTCAACTCCTCGTCTCAGCCTGCTATCCCTCCACCTGATCAATGTTCCATAACTCCTGAAATGGATCTTCGAACTGCTTCAAATTCATCTTCAGAATCTCCTCAATTACAAGATTCCACAAATCCTCAAGCTTCTTCAAGTTAATTCAAAGCCCTTTCGAACTGTTGATAGTTCCGAGGAATGGTCAAATTTCTGACCATTCCGCAGAATGAGTCATTCCGCCACCCAAGTAGCACAGATTTCAATAAGTAGCAATTACATTGTTAAAGTATTGCAATTCCACTGAGTGTTGTGTATGTTGCGTAGCCCCTATTTGAAGGAGCCCCATTTATAGAAACTTATTGCAACAACATTTAAATAAGTTGCAATTTTTCATTGCAGTGCATATTGCTTACCTTTCTGACACGTGGAGCTCATTTTGTCGATAGTTAAAAACCGGCATGAATTGACTAAATTATGCAAAAATATTGCAGTTTAATAGTAAAAAAGTTACAATTTTATTGAAATCAAATTGCAATTCAATTTCAATATTTTCGTTGCACTGTGCTACTGGGGCATCGGGGCGTAACATATACATTATACCTAAGCTTTCCATAGCAAGGACAGACTCCCTTGACATGGCTGTTGATAGTCTATACATTCCTAATAATTAAAATGTTTTCTTCAATACTGATCAATGAGCACCCCAAAAAAACCCACCCGAAGACAATCTGTGATGTCAGCTATATTGAATGTCACGTAATTCTCACATTGATTCTTTATTTCGATTACCATGTACCCATTTTTTCTTTATCTTTGAAAAAGTGGATAGGTAAGTCTAAGATGGGCTCCTTTTGTTGACTATGACCCTTTCCTTCCAGAATTTACTGCAAATAGGGTCATATTTTACTTGGTAGAACTGAAGCTGTAGCTATTGAATGCCACTTTTCATTTTTTTCATTATATTACAGCTCTAATATTTTTTATTCTTCCAGGGAGGAAGTTCGTCAAATGTTCGATCATGCATACTCAAGCTATTTATTTCATGCGTATCCCTATGATGAGCTCAGACCCATTAGCTGTGATGGTGTTGATACCTGGGGGAGGTAACAATCTCTATATTTCATTTTTCCTCAAAATTACACATTGCTTAGCTTTTTTTCATTAGGAAAAATCGTACTGAAGCCGTGGGAAAGTCGATTTTGTCGTTTATCTGCCTTATCATTACAAAATTAAAGAAAGAAGTCTTTTCATCTTTCAGAGGGGTGCTGTTCAACAACAGTCAAAGAAAGAAAAAATAATTAAAAGTCGTTCTAATTTTCTCATTTGGGTTTTCTCTTATTAGTTTTTTGCCTCATTTAATGTATTGGATTTGTCTTTCTATTGGAAAAATATGGAATTTTGGAGGATTTAAGTAGCTATTGTCCATATTAATCCAATAAGAAAGGGGGGGAAAAGGATGTTGGATTGTCCTGTTGAAAAATTGATTTTTCAGATTCCTAATGCAATAATTCCTTTATTAACTTGTTACTTCTTAAAACCAAAAGGGTCATTCCACTTTTCTGTGTGTGACAACAATTTAACTATAAATAAGAATTTGGAAACTTTCTTGGGGTTCAATTAAAAAATAATCAGCACTAGTAAAAATAACTTTTTTTATAGATCATTACAGTTTATCAGAAATTGTTCTTACTTTGTTCCATTCCTCAGAAAAAATTAAAAGGATGCATTACAGGTGTGACCAATTTTGGAAGTGAGTTCTGCCTCAGTGAAGCGGAAATTCAGCGAATTTTATGAATGTAAAAATCTGATAAAATTATATATTAAAGTGGAGGGTTTTTGCTTCAACTGCTGATTATCTGACTTCAATTTTCTCCTTTTCTTTCCGTGAAAAATTGGAAAATTTGCGTTACGGGTGTGACGTTTCGGGCCGGACGTTACAGGTGTGACGTTATGTGCGGCCCAAATTGTCTCTCTGAGATTCATTAATTCTGAGAGAGTTTAAAAGTTAAAAAACTAACTTTACTTCTCATCCCCATATTGTAGGCAATCCTAAGCAATTAATCAATCAGCAATTAGTCGCATTTTAATGTAGAACATGCCAAAACTACATTTTTCTACAGGGTGGCCCAGACATGCCGTGCCAGGGCTTTTTTTCGGTTAATGTTGGTCATACCTATGAAGTCCAGGAATGGGGAACTGACCCTAAGGAATCCGGATTTCTTAGTCCCAGAGTCCCCCCCGCGTCCTCTTGGGAGGGTAAAAGGGGGGTCCGTACTTCAAAGGTCAAGATTTATGTCAAAATTTTAAAATTATTTAATCGGAATCCGATAGTACGGAACTTTTAAACTTGCATCGACACCAAGAAATCCAAAACGACCCATCCGTGTCTAAAATACTGACCCGTAAAGGTCAGTATTTTGGTCCCGTAAAGGTCAATCGAAGTCCGGTTTGGGCGAAAAATCGTCTAAAATTGCACACTTTAAGAGTCTGAAGATCAAAATCCCGAAATCACATTTTCAAGTTAAAATACGTGCTTGTTTTCAGATTTTGAGTCGAGAAAATATATTTTAAGCGAAGAATATACAACGTACTCAATATTTTATTTGAACCAAAACCAGTTTTTTAAATTGTCCGTCTTTTTCCGCATCCAACGAGAGCTCTAATAAGCTGGGAAACCAAAGGGTTCGAGAGTTCTCTTTTTCCGTAGCGCCACTTTAGAGGCTGACCGAGCGCCGACCGACCGGCCGCTCGGTGGGCCTGGGATGGATAATATCGGAAAAAGTGAATTTTTGGAAATATCTGTAATTTCTGAACTCAGCTACCCTCAAGAATCCCTAAAAATGTATTTTGCACGGTTTGAACATTTAATCTAATTTATTAACACCCAAATTCGGCTTTGGAACCATAGTTTGGCGCTCGAAAATAGGTCGGCGCGCGTAGAGTGGAAACTTTAATCGTTCATAACTCGCGAATCCTTTGGTTCCCCAGCCTAATGAACCACTTGTTGGATGCGGAAAAAGACAAACAATTTTAAAAAAACTGGTTTTGGTTCAAATAAAATATTGAGTACTTTGTATATTCTTTGCTTAAAATACATTTTCTCTACTCAAAAAGTGAAAACAAGCACATATGTTAACTTGAAAAAATTATTTCGGGATTTTGACCTTCAGAATCTAAAAGTATGCAATTTTAGACGCTTTTTCATCCAAACCGGACCTCGATATCTTCCTTCGTTCGAGAGATATCGAGGTTCACAGGTTTTGACTCTCAGCCCCCCCCCCCCCTAGCGTCCCTCCAAAAAAAATTTTTGGGGGGTGAGTAAGTGAGTGTGAGTAATCAATAGACAAAGTTTGAAAATTTCCGGGGAGGGGGGCGAAAAAGGCCGTTTTTGCATCAAGCTCTTTCCTCGCCACTGTGGCCGCATGCCCAATGCTCGGTTTAGTTCCATTAACTACTCCGAGAGTGGAAGCTGTGTGTCAGAACGGCCTGCGCTTCGCTCACGATGGAACCAATTAGGTCTGTAATGCGTCTGTAGTTGCCCCCCTGACTGATCGCAACCTGTGTTGTGTCTCACAGCTATTCTCTTGTAGTCGCTTTTTCCAACTTTCAGAGAACCACAAAAAATTGTAATTTTTGCTCAGGGTCAGTGTAATCATTGGTCGTAGGAGTTTTTATAACTAGTGCACTTTTTATCACAACTTTTTCTCACCATTATGATTCGCATCCGGAAACCCTCTTTTGATCCTATCATTCTAATTTTGTAACTTCAGACTTTTGGTGGACACGCTGAATGTGGAAGGAGGCAAATTATAACATTGTTTTGAAGACCTTCAAGTAAATTTATTTTTCTCAGCTCTAGTTGATTAATTTGGATGAATCAACATTTTGAGGAACTAATTTCCTCCCAAGCCCCCCAAAATTTAATTTTTGCGATTATATTTCAAGTTCTCTGGGTGCAGCTTTAAAACCAATTTTTATTCAGTAGTGCTACTATCTTATCGTTGGTATCATCAAAAAATGCCCTGTGACCTTTTCATCCCATCTGATCCATTTGCAAAGCGTAATGTCCCCTCTAAATGAGAAAATTTGTTGAATTTTTCAGAAATTCTGTGCATATTGGCCAAAAAACCAACTATCATTATGACTTGGGCACGACCGTCCATGATAAGCAGCTGTTTCTTGACTGTGTGAACTATAAATGGCATGTATATACCTTTTAATTTTTTGTCTCACTGTTCTCTATCTTTTCCATGTATTGTTCAACGAGTATTTTACTCTTTTTAGTTATTCCTTGTCACTGATTGATGCTCTTGACACATTGGTTGTGATGGGGAATTACTCGGAGTTCAGACGAGTTGTCGAGATCGTCACAAATGAAATTTATTTTGATGCTGATATCAATGTTTCTGTTTTTGAAACAAACATTCGAATTCTTGGTGGTCTACTAAGTGCTCATTTATTCTCCAAAAGGTAAACTGATAGTTTTATTTGATAATGAATAACGTCTTGTAACATTTTTTCTGTGAATAGTGATGAAGATTTCTTCAGTTGATATGACTTTGGTCGCTATAGACTGCAATGAGAGGGCCCTCAAAACGCAGGAAAAATATTTTTAGCCAAGTACAATATTGGTGGGTCAAAAACATTGAATTTTCATTTCGGATGGAAAGCACAGAAATATCTGCACAAATTTTTAAGCTTTAAAGGTAAGAAAAATTTGACGTCTAGTTTGACCTCTCAAATTTAACTGGAGATATCTTCTGGATCTCTTGGATAAGTAAGAAAAGTAACTGAACACTCTTATGTCCATGTGCAGCAGTAATTAGCTAGGTACTTCATCAAACCATAGAGTACCTAGAGGCGTAATGTAAGTGGGAGAGCTGGCGCCACTTTTAAGCAATTTCCAGGTCCCCAATTCCAAGACTCCTATGTGACGCTGAGTCACTTTTGCGATACATGATCGATTGTTTTTGATACACGGGTACCCGGCCATCCGATGTTAACAAAGAAGACCGGAATTTCCTCGTAATGCACATAGCCATTTTGGATTGAACATGTATCAAAAAAGTGACCGAAGCTCGGCGCACACCGGGCTCGGAACTCATTGAGCAGAACATGGGGTCAGCTCTCCCATTTACATTACGACTCTATGCATCAAGCAGAGTAAATAATAAGCTTCACGCAAGTTGAAACGGGGGTATGAATACATTTCTTCTTGAAGCTCCAACATCTACCAACTAAGAGCATGAAAAAGGATGTAATTGTGACTAAAGAACGGAAAATGCATGAGTCACTAATCGATCAAAGAAGTGAATAATTATGCTTAAAACAATGATGTCATCAAGCGAAACAGGTGAGCACTGAGGGTTGCTGTCATCTGTTGTCGGAATCTGTTGCTGTTGTGCACTGCAAAAGATCTGAAGTACAGGGGATAATAAGTACCTAGTCCTGTGCTTAAATACACAAGTGCTAAATGTGATAAACTAAGGCAAACGCAGCAACAATTATTTTACTCCTTCCCACAAATCAAGGGAATAGGTGAAATATTTAATTTTAGTGTTCAATCCCAAATGTTAATACCTAAAAGCAAATTTACAAGCCATTAAACCCATATTACAACTCTCATAAGGCAAGACTATGATTCAGGACTTCTGTTCTTCGAAAAGAAGCTGTTTCAAGCTTTTTAAGCTCAAAATGCCTTTCTCGCTAAAATGTACCTCAGAGGCACTTAGATTCAATGTAACAAAAGGGTCGTCCCAATAGTCTTGCGCTTTTTCCTCTCATTTCAAAACTATTAAAGATAAGGATTATTCGATTAGATGTGCGTATAAGGCACACTCCCACCCTCAATTTGAGCTCAAGTTTTCAAAATATCGGATTAACAGGAGGCTAGGAGATCATTTCTCCCGCACCACCTTCAATGCATGCGTTTCCTGCCACCTCGAGGCTCGCAATAAGTCAGCATTTTTTGAAACACCTGGCACATTTTTTTTTAATTCAACCATTTATGGACGATTCGATGCAAGACCGATCGAGAAATTTCAGGAAAAAATTTAACCATATTGTCTAGTGCCATTTAGTGTCATTTGACGATCTACGCGTTAAAGCGTCGACTCATTGCACCAAGTCATTATTGATCACACTTGGCCTGCCATCTTGGGCTTCACTGTGCACTTCTATTCTTCCTTGGCTCAATTCTATCGCTCATTGCGTTTTTCCCGTAAACTCCATGAAGTCTGCAAATAATGTCACACGACCTAACTTTTTCCAAAGTCCAAAATCAAGTTACTGACCGAACTTCACAGTTCTCTAGCTTCGAAAATGCTATAACTTCGTAACACACTTTACACAATGAGCTTGCACATAAAACACTGATTGCACTCATCATCAAAGGCCTAAAACGCAACTTGCGGAACAGGTTAACAACCTGGTAAAAAATACTGATGAGGATTCCAATGCGGTCGGATCAGATCGGCCGCATTCGTCCACACGAATACGTCGTAGATTTTAAAAAATTTGGAATTTAACTAAAGCTGAAAGTATGCCTCTTGTGCACATCTAATCTTTTCTCTATCTTTAATAGTTTTGAAATGAGAGCAAAACGCGCAAGACTTATGAGATGACCCTCATACTTGAATGATGCAACAGTCCCATTTAAAAGAAGCGTCAAATTGCGATGATGGTGGCCTAGGGTTGACAGAAGTTTTTCCTTTGCATTTTTGCAATTTTTAAGAACGTATGCAGGAAATTTGGGTCTCAAAATGCTCTGAAGAAGAGATGGAAGCAATATCTCAACATAATTTAAGGCATTGACCAAAGTGAGAGCAGCTTCTGACATCATTTGAGGCCTGCAAGGCATCAATTCAGGGTTTGGGGTAATTAGAAAACTTTGGTAGTAAGTACACGATAAGTATGGAGATAAATCAAAATTTTCTGTGTACCTAAAACCATTAGCAAACATCTTCATAATCTTGTTCTTTTTTCTCTCTCCTCCTTTCTTCTCCTTCCCTCATGCACTCTCTCCTTGTCTCTCCTTTTCTGGATTTAGAGCCGGTTTGGCTTTAGAGGAAGAATGGCCTTGTAATGGTCCACTTCTAAGATTAGCAGAGGATGTGGCCAAGAGACTCCTACCAGCTTTTGATACCGCGACAGGAATGCCGTATGGCACTGTCAATTTACGCCACGGAGTTCCTCATGGTGAAACATCAATCACATGCACCGCTGGTGTTGGCACTTTCATTCTTGAGTTCGGAACTCTCTCAAGACTGACTGGCAATCCAATTTATGAAGAAGTAAGTACAGTTCTGGAATTTCATTCCCCTTGCAATGGGCCTAACATTAGAGTAGGAGCAAAATGATACTTTAGCTGAAATATCCTGCTGAAGTATCTTAATGACATAAATTAAGGAATTATAGAGTGTTAACTTGTTCTATAATGAAAAGAGGTTCCAGTATAGGGCCCATGAAGTATAGGTAAGTTTGTTTATCTGATCCGCCTTGCGGGTATCTAAACCAGCAGGTGGCAGTAGTCTTTGCAGCTTAGGGGTATTCCTGTCTAATCGGGTCTCAACTGCTAGTTAATTAACTACCAGTTGAAGGTAACGTCCAGTGCATAGGAAATTGTCACTGATTTTCAACCTCTTGTTACTGAACAAAGACTACTCGCCAAAAAGTGCATTTTTTTTTTTTTTTTTTTTTT